ATATAAATGAACCAAAATAAAAAAAAAAAAACATACAAGACTAACAAAGGGCAGATAGTTTGTTTTGGCTGACTACTTGTTAAATGATATCATCAATTAAGTTTAATGTTTTGTAAATTTACTCAATAATATCATAGCTAACATATTTGTTCAATTTGTGACAGTGATTAACCAGATCGTTATGGGCATAAAAAGGCAACTACCAGTATATCAAAAGTTATAGTTCTTTTTTATTTCAAAGTAAAAACTAAAGTTTTAATAGAATAAAGATAAAGGTTGCACATTCCCTTCAGACATTATATATCACGGTTTTTCAATTCATGATGAAGTGGATCAAGGAAAACAGTTGAACATCAAGTTGCCTTTATGTCCCTTTACAAGGTTTTACAGTACATGATTTTTGTGTACAAAGTAATTGAATGAATGGTAACTTACAAAACTTATAAGATATCATTGTACTCTAATCAAGGTACTAAGGACCATATTTTTTATTCTTTATTTAAACGATAGAAACTTCCAATTATCGAAACTATTTTTTTAAACCAAAGATTTTAATAGCAGAATATATAAAACCAACGTGAAAACTAACTGCACACTTTTTTTTTAATTTGGGACACAACATTTTATTTAAAAATAGCCAGTGGCGATGGGAAGGTCTAAAACGCGGAACTGGGAAAACACGGAAGGGTAATATTGATATATTATAAGTGATTTCTCTGGAACTGCTAAAGATAAATTGATAATTGAAACGGATTTTGAAAGCTTCTATGATAGTCTATAATTTAAAATAGCAAAAATAGTGATTCTGGTATTCATTATTACCCAAAAATTGACCGGAAGCCTTGTTAAGCGTGACTCAATCCAATTTCGAACCTTTAGACTTAAATTTACGCCTCCCTTGTATATAAATGTAGAAGTCAATATTTCAACTTTGAACTAAAATTCACCAAATAATATAAAGCCCGGTCAAAATCGTGAACATAATGTCTAAAGACAATGTAATAACAAGTAATATGGTATGAAATAAATTAGGAATACGTTAATTAGAAGGGCAAAATCTTGACCGGAAGCCTCTCTAGTGTATAAATGAAGATCACAAAATTCAAGCCACTGCCACGAAGCCATTTAAGTACCATGCCACTTTGACAAATTGGTTTTTTAACAATTATATGTTAAGTATTGATTTTTTTAGAATAATTCAAGAAAAATACAATACATGTTTTAAAAAATACGTGTTTTCATATTAAAAAAAAAAAATAATCACAAAACTGAAATGTGACTTTTTTGTCCAGTGACTTTTTGTCCGTGACTTTTTGTCTTGTGACTTTCTGTCCAACATTCATGAATTCATAGGGTATCTTGTGGTAGTTGAAATTATTGAGTGCAATCATTTTGTGTCCGTCGTCGTCTGTAATACATATCATTTTCTACACATTTGTATAGCATACAAGTACAAAAAACCATCTACTTTTGGAGTGTCAAAAATTCGTTGGAAGTACTTGATAAATTGCATGCTTATATTGGTGATTTCGAATCTGTTCAAAGTTTTGATTTTTCTACCCTATACACCACTTTGCCTCATAATCTTATTAAGAGAAAAAATTCACACACCTGATTAAAAGGGCATTTAAAAAGTCGGAATGCGAATATATATGTTCAAACTCTTTTAGGTCATTTTTTAGTAACAACAAACAAAAGAACTATGTCAATTGGACCTGTTTTGAAACTATAACTGCCCTTAAATTTTACTAGATAACATTTGTGTTTGCTATGGAGATTCCGTATATCGTCAGGTTATCGGAATTCCCATGGGGACTAACTGTGCACCACTTGTTGCGGATTATAACTCCTCAACAGTTAGACTAATTGTTCCCCGCGCGAAGCAATGCGGGGGACATAGAAATACCGGTCGTTCGCACGCCCGCCCTTCCGGTCTTGTTAGCGCTCTCATGTGCATAATTTTTGCTAGATTTTTATAAAACTTGTATCATTGGTTTATATTAGCAATGTCTCGGACAAGTTCGAAAATCAGTGCCGAACATCTATTTATAAAAGAGTTATACTGTATATTATATTTATTATTCGTTTATTGTATAGTTTGTTCTTGTGTTGTGCTGTTGCACCACTGTCCAAGATAGGGGAAAGGTTGGGCGCCCACCAACTATGTTTAACCCCACCACATTCTGTATGTGCCTGTTCCAAGTCAGGAGCCTGTAATTCAGTGGTCGTTTGTTGCTGTATATCATATTTGTTTTTTGTATTTTGTACATAAATCAGGCCGTTAGTTTTCTCGTTTGAATTATTTACATTTGTCATTTCGGGGCCTTTTATAGCTGACTATGCGGTACGGGCTTTGCTCATTGTTGAAGGCCGTACGGTGACCTATAGTTGTTAATTTCTGTGTCATTTGTTCTCTTGTGGAGAGTTGTCTCATTTGCAATCATATCACATCTTCTTATTTTTTTATTTATACACCTTGCAAATATCAATTATATGGAAAATTTCATTGTTAGCGCTCTCAGGTGTTCGATTCTTCCCAGATTTTTCTGAAATTTATATCATAAGTTTATACAAGCAATTTCTCGGACAAGTTCGAAAATCAGTGCCGATCAGTTATTTTTCAAAGAGTTATGCCTCTTGGAAATATTAATTATATGGAAAATTTAGAACCTTTAGACTGAGTATAATTAGTATTTATCTTCAAAGCATTTAGACTGATTATAAATTGTTTTTATCTCCCAAACAGTTAGACTGATTATAATAAATATTTATCTCCCGAACAGTTAGACTGCTTATAACTTGCATTTACCTCCCCTACAGTTAGACTAATTGTCCCCCACGCGACGCGTTGCGGGAGACATAGAAATACCGGGCGTCCGTACATCCGCCCGTCCGGTCTTGTAAGCGCTTTCATGTGTAAAATTTTTGCCAGATTCTTATCAGATTTATATCAAAGCTTTATATTTAAGAAATGTCTCTGGCACGTTCGAAAATCTGTGCCGATCAACTCTTGTTACAAGAGTTACAGTACACTTACACCTTTTGGAAATATAATTTAAATGGCAAATTTCATTATTGGCTCTCATGTGTACGACTTTTGCCAGATTTTTATGAAACTTATATCATAGGTTAATAGTAGCAATGTATCGGACAAGTTCGAAAATCAGTGCCGATATTATTTTTAAAAGCCCTTGGAAATATGATATTAATTATATGGAAAATAGCATTGTTAGCTTTGTCATCTGACAATATTTGCCAGATTTTTATCAAATTTATATCAAAGGCTTATATCAGAAATGTCTCGTACAAATGGGAAATTCAGTGCTGATGAAATATTTTTAAAAGAGTTATGTCCCTTTGAAATATTCATGAATAAGTTCTTGGTTCCATACCTAGTGTGTATCATCGGGAATTTTTCTGGTACGTTTTACCATTAAAAAAATAAGAAGCTGTGGTATGATAGCCAAGGAGACAACTCTCCACAAGAGACCAAAATGACACAGAAATTAAGAAATAAAGGTCAACTTACGGCCTGCAACAATGAACATTACCCATACCACATAGTCAGCTATTAAAGGCCCCGAAATGGCAAATGTAAAACAATTCAAACGGGAAAACTAAACATGTCCAGACCTGTTTTGAAAAGTAGAGACATCTTGCTTTGATTGGTCACCGTTTGTCCCGGTAAATCTTGCCAAAGCAATGAACATTGACAAGTGCTAGTCTTTGTTCTATTCCCATCTCATAATATACGAATTGGCGGAGTTTGTCATCACAATCTTCATCTTTTTGTTCTTTAATTCAGGAAAACATAAGGTCATATTAACATGAGCAGCATTGTATGTCTATTAATTTTCCATTCAGCGTATTAGTTTCTTTAGTAAAGTATCTATTTTTTCTTGTATGCTATCATGGTTTCATAATAAGTTGTTCTTTCTACATCTGTAGTTAATGTATTAGACTTTATCTCATCAAATCAGTTTCCTGTACCCTGAGATTTAATGTATCAGTCTTTGACTTTATCTTATCAAGTCAGTTTCCTGTACCCTGAGATTTGGCTTTTAGTTATGTCAGTATCGACTTCACGTTTGTTATATCCTTTTCTGTGTCGATAACTCTTGCGCTATTAAGTTTGTCGTTTTTTTTCCCTCAAAGTTGTCGTGTTTTTTCAAGTATCTTTTTCGATCGATGGTATATTATCGTGACGTGTCTTTTCTGTTTTACAATTACGTTCTTTAAAGATCTGTGTTGTAGGTTTTGTCACATTGTCTATCGTTTTGTCGCCCATTATTGAACTCACTCATCTAGACCCTTAATTAACAAGTAATAACACGTCTATGGGGCTATAAGTGGGGATAAGACCCTCACCTTAAACATCGAAATAAGGTACATCCGATCTAATATCCTTATGGAGGGATAAGACCCTCACTTTAAACATCAAAATTAGGTACATCCGATCTAATATCCTTACTAAGGGGATAAGAGTCTGACCCTCACCTTAAACATCGAAATAAGGTATATCCGATCTAATATCCTTACGGAGGGGATAAGACCCTCACCTTAAACATCGAAATAAGGTACATCCGATCTAATATCCTTACGGAGGGGATAAGACCCTCACCTTAAACATCAAAATATGGTATATCCGATCTATGGTATGAAATAAGTGCTTATACCCAGTATTTATGTATTTATATCGAGAGCTTAAAAATTCAAAACATCCATCTTTTCATACGCATTTTCTGATTAATACTGATTATCAGTGTTATTTATTTTTCCTGAATAGTTAGACAGTTTGCAAGTTACAAAAGCACAAGAGACGTTCTCCCTAATCAATTAAAAATACCGGATCCGTCTTCTAAAGTGAAGAACTTTCTGTATAAAAAAATATTTTACTTTTTTGACACATGCTTTTTTTGTATCTATGCTCCCAGTTAAATTGTGTAAAACTTATTGCTAGACATAAACAAAATATTTAAACGTTTCATCATTTAATCTAGGGTTATTGCTGGAGCTACAAAGGCCAATTTTTCAAACGACAACGCAATAACAGAACCAGGCAACATATTTATGTGCCAACTTGACTTCACACAGTCAGTACAAAATAAATGTGAACCAATGAACCTCAGAACAAATGGTAAGTATAAACCAATACACATTGTTATATATGAACAAATAGTGTGTAAAAACAATTAACACAGCACAAGTGTAAACAAATAATCATCACAAACAAATAGTGGGTAAACACATATGTAAATCAATAAACATCACAACAAATGTTAATGCAAATAAACCGTGGGTGAACAAAACCTACAAATCACGAGTATAAACCAATAACATTATACAAAATAAACCGTGGGTGAATAACATCTACATAGCACGAGTATAAACCAAAAACAGTATACAAATAAACCGTGGGTGAATAACATCTACAAAGCACGAGTATAAACCAATAACAGTATACGAATAAACCGTGGGTGAATAACATCTACATAGCACGAGTATAAACCAATAACAGTATACGAATAAACTGCGGGTGAATAACATCTACAAAGCACGAGTATAAACCAATAACAGTATACGAATAAACCGTGGGTGAATAACATCTACATAGCACGAGTATAAACCAATAACAGTATACGAATAAACCGTTGGTGAATAACATCTACAAAGCACGAGTGTAAACCAATAACATTGTACAAACAAACCGTGGGTGAATAACATCTTCAAAGAACGAGTATAAACCAATAACAGTATACGAATAAACCTTGGGTGAATAACATCTACATAGCACGAGTATAAAACATCTACAAAGCACGAGTATAAACCAATAACAGTGTACAAATAAACCGTGGGTGAATAACGTCTACAAAGCACGAGTATAAACCAATAATAGTATACGAATAAACCGTGGGTGAATAACATCTACATTGCACGAGTATAAACGAATAACAGTATACGAATAAACCGTGGGTGAATAACATCTACATAGCACGGGTGTAAACCAATAACAGTGTACAAATAAACCGTGGGTGAATAACATCTACATAGCACGAGTATAAACGAATAACTGTATACGAATAAACCGTGGGTAAATAACATCTACATAGCACGAGTATAAAACATCTACAAAGCACGAGTATAAACCAATAACAGTGTACAAATAAACCGTGGCTGAATAACATCTACAAAGCACGAGTATAAACCAATAATAGTATACGAATAAACCGTGGGTGAATAACATCTACATTGCACGAGTATAAACGAATAACAGTATACGAATAAACCGTGGGTGAATAACATCTACATAGCACGGGTGTAAACCAATAACAGTGTACAAATAAACCGTGGGTGAATAACATCTACATAGCACGAGTATAGACGAATAACTGTATACGAATAAACCGTGGGTGAATAACATCTACAAAGCACGAGTATAAACCAATAACAGTGTACAAATAAACCGTGGGTGAATAACATCTACATAGCACGGGTGTAAACCAATAACAGTGTACAAATAAACCGTGGGTGAATAACATCTACATAGCACGAGTATAAACGAATAACTGTATACGAATAAACCGTGGGTGAATAACATCTACATAGCACGAGTATAAAACATCTACAAAGCACGAGTATAAACCAATAACAGTGTACAAATAAACCGTGGGTGAATAACATCTACAAAGCACGGGTGTAAACCAATAACAGTGTACAAATAAACCGTGGGTGAATAACATCTACATAGCACGAGTATAAACGAATAACAGTAAACGAATAAACCGTTGGTGAATAACATCTACATAGCACGAGTATAAACGAATAACAGTATACGAATAAACCGTGGGTGAATAACATCTACCTAGCACGGGTGTAAACCAATAACAGTGTACAAATAAACCGTGGGTGAATAACATCTACAAAGCACGAGTATAAACCAATAACAGTATACGAATAAACCGTGGGTGAATAACATCTACAAAGCACGAGTATAAACCAATAATAGTATACGAATAAACCGTGAGTGAATAACATCTACATAGCACGAGTATAAACGAATAACAGTATACGAATAAACCGTGGGTGAATAACATCTACATAGCACGGGTGTAAACCAATAACAGTGTACAAATAAACCGTGGGTGAATAACATCTACATAGCACGGGTGTAAACCAATAACAGTATACGAATAAACCGTGGGTGAATAACATCTACAAAGCACGAGTATAAACCAATAATAGTATACGAATAAACCGTGAGTGAATAACATCTACATAGCACGAGTATAAACGAATAACAGTATACGAATAAACCGTGGGTGAATAACATCTACATAGCACGGGTGTAAACCAATAACAGTGTACAAATAAACCGTGGGTGAATAACATCTACATAGCACGGGTGTAAACCAATAACAGTGTACAAATAAACCGTGGGTGAATAACATCTACATAGCACGGGTGTAAACCAATAACAGTGTACAAATAAACCGTGGGTGAATAACATCTACATAGCACGAGTATAAACGAATAACAGTATACGAATAAACCGTGGGTGAATAACCTCTACATAGCACGGGTGTAAACCAATAACAGTGTACAAATAAACCGTGGGTGAATAACATCTACATAGCACGAGTATAAACCAATAACAGTGTACAAATAAACCGTGGGTGAATAACACATACAAAGCACGAGTGTAAACCAATAACAGTGTACAAATAAACCGTGGGTGAATAACACATACAAAGCACGAGTATAAACCAATAACAGTGTACGAATAAACCTCGGGTGAATAACATCTACATAGCACGGGTGTAAACCAATAACAGTGTACAAATAAACCGTGGGTGAATAACCTCTACATAGCACGGGTGTAAACCAATAACAGTGTACAAATAAACCGTGGGTGAAAAACATCTACAAAGCACGAGTTTAAACCAATAACAGTATACGAATAAACCGTGGGTGAATAACATCTACATTGCACGAGTATAAACCAATAACAGTGTACAAATAAACCGTGGGTGAATAACATCTACATAGCACGGGTGTAAACCAAAAACAGTGTACAAATAAACCGTGGGTGAAAAACATCTACAAAGCACGAGTATAAACCAATAATAGTATACGAATAAACCGTGGGTGAATAACATCTACATAGCACGAGTATAAACCAATAACAGTGTAAAAATAAACCGTGGGTGAATAACATCTACAAAGCACGAGTATAAACCAATAACAGTGTACGAATAAACTGTGGGTGAATAACATCTACATAGCACGAGTATAAACCAATAACAGTGTACAAATAAACCGTGGGTGAATAACATCTACAAAGCACGAGTATAAATCAATAACAGAATACGAATAAACTGTGGGTGAATAACATCTACATAGCACGAGTATAAACCAATAACAGTATACAAATAAACTGTGGGTGAATAACATCTACATAGCACGAGTGTAAACGAATAACAGTGTACAAATAAACCGTGGGTGAATAAAATCTACATAGCACGGGTGTAAACCAATAACAGTGTACAAATAAACCGTGGGTGAATAACCTCTAGATAGCACGGGTGTAAACCAATAACAGTGTACAAATAAACCGTGAGTGAAAAACATCTACAAAGCACGAGTTTAAACCAATAACAGTATACGAATAAACCGTGGGTGAATAACATCTACATTGCACGAGTATAAACCAATAACAGTGTACAAATAAACCGTGGGTGAATAACATCTTCAAAGATGGAGTATAAACCAATAACAGTGTACGAATAAACTGTGGGTGAATAACATCTACATAGCACGAGTATAAACCAATAACAGTGTACAAATAAACCGTGGGCGAATAACATCTACAAAGCACGAGTATAAACCAATAACAGAATACGAATAAACCGTGGGTGAATAACATCTACATAGCACGAGTATAAACCAATAACAGAATACAAATAAACCGTGGGTGAATAACATCTACAAAGCACGAGTATAAACCAATAACAGAATACGAATAAACTGTGGGTGAATAACATCTACATAGCACGAGTATAAACCAATAACAGTGTACAAATAAACTGAGGGTGAATAACATCTACATAGCACGAGTGTAAACCAATAACAGTATACGAATAAACCATGGGTGAATAACATCTACATAGCACGAGTATAAACCAATAGTATACGAATAAACCGTGGGTGAATAACATCTACATAGCACGAGTGTAATCCAATAACAGTATACAAATAAACCGTGGGTGAATAACATCTACAAAGCACGAGTATAAACCAATAACAGTATACAAATAAACCGTGGGTGAATAACATCTACATAGCACGAGTGTAAACCAATAACATTGTACGAATAAAACGTGGGTGAATAACATCTAAAAAGCACGAATATAAACAATTAACAGTATACGAATAAACCGTGGGTTAATAAAATCTGATTGTAAACAATCAAAAATGTCCGGAGAAATAGCGGAAACAATCCATGCAACAATGGCAAGGCAAAACGCAAAAATAAAGTAAACTGGATTTTATAACAAAACCAATTTTGATTTAGAATTAAAGAAACGTGTCGCGTTCACAAGAATTGTACTTTTTTTTTCTTTTTCTTAACATATATTGCATTTCTTCATAGATCAGGTCAGATGGCCAGACCTCCCCGGATATGAAGAAGATAATGAGTTACTGGGAGCTTCGATGTCCTTTATAGATGATACTATTGTTGTAAGTAAATTACTGGGAGCTTCGATGTCCTTTATAGATGATACTATTGTTGTTAGTAAATTACTGGGAGCTTCGATGTCCTTTATAGATGATACTATTATTGAAGTAAATTACTGGGAGCTTCGATGTCCTTTATAGATGATACTATTGTTGTAAGTAAATTACTGGGAGCTTCAATGTCCTTTATAGATGATACTATTGTTGTAAGTAAATAACTGGGAGCTTCGATGTCCTTTTTAGATGATACTATTGTTGTAAGTAAATTACTGGGAGCTTCGATGTCCTTTAAAAATGATACTATTGTTGTAAGTAAATTACTGGGAGCTTCGATGTCCTTTATAGATGATACTATTATTGTAAGTAAATTACTGGGAGCTTCGATGTCCTTTATAGATGATACTATTGTTGTAAGTAAATTACTGGGAGCTTCGATGTCCTTTATAGATGATACTATTGTTGTAAGTAAATTACTGGGAGCTTCGATGCCCTTTATAGATGATACTATTGTTGTAAGTAAATTCCTGGGAGCTTCGATGTTCTTTATAGATGATACTATTGTTGTAAGTAAATTAAGGCGACAGTAGTTTACCGAGGTTTTAAAATCGATGAAGACGAAACAAATCAAGGTAACTAACAAAAAATTAGGGAATCGCATGAACTCCAAAAGGAGCGCCATCGGATGCGTCGAAAGGGTAAGTGTCTCCTGCTAAGCATGCATCATCTGCCTTTCAGTCAAAATGTTAAATTCGGGATTGGACAGAATAGGTAAAACTACAGATCAGCCGACTATTCTGGTATCTAAGACCGCGAAAACATGTCGATAGTCAGTTCAGACACCTACAGATCAGCCGACTTTTCTGGTCTCTAAGACCGCCAAAAACATGTCGATAGATCAGTCGACTATTCTGGTCTCTAAGACCGCGAAAACATGTCGATAGATCAGCCGACTATTCTGGTATCTAAGACCGCAAAAACATGTCGATAGTGAGTTCAGAAACCTACAGATCAGCCGACTATTCTGGTATCTAAGACCGCAAAAACATGTCGATAGATCAGTCGACTATTCTGGTCTCTAAGACCGCGAAAACATGTCGATAGATCAGCCGACTATTCTGGTATCTAAGACCGCAAAAACATGTCGATAGTGAGTTCAGAAACCTACAGATCAGCCGACTATTCTTGTATCTAAGACCGCAAAAACATGTCGATAGTGAGTTCAGACACCTACAGATCAGCCGACTATTCTGGTTTCTAAGACCGCAAAAACATGTCGATAGTGAGTTCAGAAACCTACAGATCAGCCGACTATTCTGGTCTCTAAGACCGCAAAAACATGTCGATAGATCAGCCGACTATTCTGGAATTTAAGACTGCGAAAACATGTCGAAAAAGTAAAATCACAAAAATACTGAACTCCGAGGAAAATTCAATCGGAAAGTCCCTAATCACATGGCAAAATCAAATGACAAAACACATCAAACGAATGGACAACAACTGTCATATTCCTGACTTGGTACAGGCATTTTCAAATGTAGAAAATGGTGGATTGAACCTGGTTTTATAGCGCTAAACCTCTCACTTGTACGACAGTCTTATCAAATTCCGTTATATTTACAACGATGCGTGAACAAAACAGACATTATAAATAAAATAGTCAAAATATGGGTACAGCAGTCATCACTGTGTTACAATATCAAAACAAACAATTATTTACAAAAAAGCACAAAAGCATCTATCAAATTAAAAACCACATTCATTGCTTTGCGTGTCTGACGTCAGAAAATGTAAACGTCACATAAGAAAAAAGTTTGTCATTCAATATTTATTCAAAACAATTTTATAATTTCACATGGGGAATGTTGGTATACATGGTTAAAAAATCAAAAGTTATGTTAGAATTAATTTCAGAAATAGACCGAGATTTAAAATTGTCCAGAAGTTCTTTAGAATTTTTAAGAATCCACATATGGTAAATACCACTACGCGAGTAAAATAAATTTGTCGTTTGTCGTTCAAAGTATTTTCAAATTTATAATAGAACAATAACATAATGACATATAATAGAACAATAACATAATGCCGGGATCTTTTAAAGTACCTAGCCACGTCAAACGGATATCACAGAAAACAAACCAAACAGTAAAAGTAATATTTATAATAGAACAAAGACAAATGAAAGAACAATATTACACGTTGTTAAGATGATAAACAACGTCAGTATGCAGAATCTATACTTCAAGACCATCATGTATTATTTGTGAAGTTGATACGGAATATTTATCAACAAGGTCTTGGTACCTTCCGATGAACTTTTTTAGAAAAAGGACGAGACGTTCTTTGACATACCCCTGGCTCATCAACTTTCTGCTCAGACACTGGTGACGTTTTACAAAGTCTGAGTAGGAGCTGCAAGCTCTTGAATATCGAATAAGTTGGGAAATGTATATCCCATATGCAGGTGAAGTTGGTATATTGCTACAGACCTTCTAAAATTCAAACTGACCACACGCACGATACACGCACGCACGATACACGCACGGTGAATGCACGATACACGCACGGTGAATGCACGATACACGCACGGGAATGCACGATACACGATACACGCACGATGAGCGATGAGCGTTACACGGAGGATTAACGAAAAATGAATGATGAATGATGAACGCACGATACACGCACGATGCACGATGAATGATGAACACACGATACACGCACGATACACGCACGGTGAATGATTCATTGACGAATGAACGATAAGCGCTTAATACACGGTTCTCAAAGCCATTTTATTTGGAATTGCATTTAAAATTGATGTATGATAATGAAAATCTATAAGGGTATACAAGTTTTAGATATCTCGCTTTCTGTGTTGATTGGTCGACAGTTTTACTAAACACTCCATGTATTAAATAAGTTAATTGTAGTATAGTATTTCCAATATCAATGAGTGTTGTCAAATTATAAAACTCATCGATTTTATAATTCTACTTAATATAAATAATTTATAAATTGCTACGTTTTAAAGAGTGGCGATTCCAGCCTTTTTTAAAAAGAGGGTTCTCAACCCAGGATAAAAGGGGTGGTTTTAACCATATGTCCCCATTCAAATGCATTGACCCCCCCCCCCCCCTCTCTCCTCTTTTTATCTGCCTAAATTTGTAACCTTAACTAATTAATTATCATATGTTTACGTTCCGAAATTTAGGAAATATTTGTATGTTTCGAAGTTTAGTATGATGTCCATTATCACTGAACTAAAATTCATTTTTGTTTAGGGACCAGCTGAAAAGCGCCTTCGGTGCGGGATTTTCTACCCATTGGTGGCCTTCGACTGTTTTCTGCCTGTACGTCTAAACACTGCTAAGGACTTATAATATGCCACTAAGGACTAGAAAGGACGTGTTACTTGTACTCTGTTTTCATACAATGGTAGAGATAGATAGATTTTTATTACATAAATTCCAATTTTTAAAGAAAAAGAATCACCATTAAATGAGTAGTTGAACAATATTTGGAACGTGCCGGTTTTTCCTTGATATTGCCGAAAATCAGTGATCCGACTGACACGAGCGAACTTACATAACAACTGATTAAACAATCATAATCTCTTTTTTTTTACTTAAGTTACAATGTTCCTTATATTATCAGAATCGTATGAGTTAATTTAGAGCAAAATATATAATTTGTCAGAAAAATCTGATTCGTACAAATTGATTAGAAATAGCTAAGAAAATGAAATTTACCAAATAATGAGAAAATTTAAACATTTGTAATACCAAATACTGTCTTCATAATATACTTCTGAAACGACTTTTCGTCCTGAATATGCATGAAATTTTTGCCACTGGACGTTTAAACAACCACTGAATAATCAATCAATCAAATTTTGCTCTCAGTAAAAATGAATTAAACAATATAAGCCACAATTGTATCCATCACTTGGTGTCTGTTGTTTGTTTGTACAGTAAACATACTGAATCTTTTTATATTCCTTATACAATTTCAAGTATGTAATAAAATTCATACATATTTTCAAACATCCTGGAACTTCAAATTTCTAGGAGGTGAGATTCTCGGGGTTTTACCTGAAACTCTTTGGGAAATGCAATTTTTAATTCCGATTCCAATTCCAAACTGTAAAAGATATCCCAAGGTTTTTTTTAAAATGCATTTCTAATTTGATAAGGAGATTTGAAAAAAAACGATCTCAATGGTAGTTGAAATTATTCAGTGCAATCATTTTGTGTCCGCCGTGGTTCTAAAACTGTATCACATGCCCATAATTGTCCTAAAGCTAAATGTCATCGTCAGATTATGAGGGTCTGAATAGGGATTCGTTATTTCTGTATTCTGTCATTTTAGGCAATTTTTTCTAATCGTTATACCTTTTGTCGATCATTCTTTATTCCATATATTCTAGTACCTCATCATTTTCTTTTCTATATATTTGTCTGGTTATTTTTTGTATTCTTTATTTTTTGGTCAATAATTTTCTATTCTATAAACCCCCACCCACACCCTCATGTATAATGGAAGACGATAAACATTTTAGTATACATACCACCCGTTGTCACTTTCACCTGACATACAAACCACAAATTGTTATTTTTACCTGGACACGGGACTTATATAATTACGTAATAATAACGGATATAGTAAATTCAGTAGAATATAACCTGTATCAACGCACTGGCTTGTTAAATGAATATTGATCTGACAACTGTTTATCATATTTTTAGTTATTTTAAAATTGAGAATGGAAATGATGAATATGTCAAAGAGACAACAACCCGAAAAGAGGGTTACACTAATGACTGGACCGAATGACAGGACCGAATGACAGGACCAAATGAAAAATGCTGATAACTTTTTCATTTCTCAAAGGATTAATCTCAAATTTGAAATGTAATAAGATTTCAACATTTAATATAAAGATTAAAGAAAAAAAAGAAAAAAAATATTTTAAAAGCTTTAGAAAACGTGACCTGACCTACGCT